GAGATATTTTAATTTAAAAATTAAAAAAAAAATTACTAAAAATGATTTGTCCCTTTTCTATTGACTCACCCCCATATATCGATTTATAACAGGTTAATCGATGTGTAATGATTAATTTTAATCGATAAAAATAATTATATGTTATATATAGATAAAAATCCACTTAAAAAATTTTGTAATGCATATCCTTATAATACTAATATTATTTAAGCAGTTCTTGATTAAGTTATTAATTTATAAGAATTAGATAGTATAATAACTACTATTACTACAGATAATGCTGTAAATTTAATTAAGACAATATCTTTAATGTACTATATAATACTAAACAGATATCATATGCCATACATACTTTACAATTGGCTATTAGAAAAAGACAAACCTGTAGAAAAACTTGTAGCAAGAGCAAGATATCTAATTAATTTCTTATCAGCTCCAAAACAGGTTAATTTTTTTTCTAACCTTTTAGTTTGCTCTCTTTCTTTCTTATTGTTAAAACTATATTGTGAGTCTTTTTTTTAGTAATCTACTTTTGTTTTTTTCTAATATTATGGCTAAATAAATAGGCAAAACAATTAGAAAAAGCTCAAATAGTGTTAAAAAAATTAGTCTCTGAAATTAATACTAATAAAGAATCATACTTATATATTACTGCTAATATAATTACTAGATAGAATTCATCTTATATTGCATAAACTAGATTGCTTTAGCTTTAGAAATCTATTAATATAATGTATACTACACTTCTTGTCTCTTTGAATAGACAAACTAAAAAAGAAGCACGTTATCTAAAATCTATTATGCTAATATCAGATAAATGAGATATATTAACAAGTCTAACTAGTTTTTTAAAACCATTTGCTAAAGTAACTGAATTGTTAGGTGGTAGTAAATATTTTACTATAAGGTTTATGTAGTCTGCTATTACAATATTAGCTTAAAATTGTTAACTGAGTAGTATATTGTATGATGAAATTAAAACTGTTGATTTGAATAATTTTTTTTTTTTGTTTTTTTTTTTTTTTTTTATTAAAGACCGATATCATGGTTGCTAATGCTTTATTGTATTTATATGTCTTATTACAAATATATTTGCAGACATATTGGTACATTAACGAGTGTACAACTAGTCACACGTGCAATTTTTGATTGCCTATTTAAGTAGTCCACCCGAAGGTTCTACACTAGCTGCCATACCTGCAACCTACTAGGAGATTGCCTATTTAAACCCTCTGATTTTCTGTACCCACCTAGCAATTAGCACCTAAGTTCCTGTACAACAAGTGCCGTCTAACTTGACATGTGGTCTCTCTTTCTGTGCTAGGGACCCAGGCTGTACCCCTATTACTAGAGTACGTCACCTAGTAGCAAGGCTCAGGGTGCCCCCCTGTCAACAACCTACCCACTCTACGGTCTTATCAACAGGGCTATGCCCTTGCAGAGTTCACCCAAACCCTGATACTCACTTCACAGCATATCCCCAATACTTCGGTTTCCCTCTGTTTTTAGTTCTAGACTACCAAACCAGATAGCCCGGAAGGACTGTGACCTGTTCCTGGTTCACCGGCTCTGCCATGACCTTTTCCTCCGGTTAACCCAGCGGCCTAGTTGGTGGACCGGCTTTACCACAAACCGGTCATGCCCTGTCCAGTTCTTTTACTTCGGTTCCCCTTTTCTTGAGTCTAGTCTTTACAGTAGTACCGTCAAAGATCTGTGCTATCTCTCTGCTCGGGTCTTCCCAAATGGGCTTCTGTCCTCCAGTTCTACAGATTTACACGACCTAGGGACTTATCTAGTGTTTGCACCGCCCATTGCCGGTTTGCATTTTTCTGTGTAACCCAAAGTTGCACGGATGCCCCAGCCTAGTGTTTTAAGCCATAAGGTTTTAGTCAGCTGGCTAAGCCAGCCGACTAAGATATCGGCTAATTGGCTAGTTAATGGCTATACTTCTAGAAATTTTCCGTAAACTTTTCGAAAATTTTGCTTATATTTTATGCTTACTTTTTAGAATTTACCAGAATCCACTATATACTAATTTTTAGCTACATAAGCCAGCTGAACATATTACATTGGCTGGCTCAGCTAGCTAAGCCGGCTTAGCCACGGCTGCTTTAGCCGGCTTAAATCACTACCCCAGCCTTGCCAGTCTTGCTGGTGCGACCATAGTTACAGGTATCCTATCCCAACTGATCGATGAAGATGGTTGCTATAACACAGGTAATTATTTGAATTTTCCGTCATTGGTGGGTTTCAAACTCTGACCTGCTACTTGGTGAGGGTAACAACCTAACCACTACACTAGATCGCCACACCTATTTGAATAATTTAAATACTATTTTCGAAGAAAAAGATCTAGTTATTAACTATGATAAAATCTCTAAAGCTGAGATAACAATCAAAGAGCATAAAATTAAAATTAGTAATTCTACTAATTGTGATGAATTAGTTAAAAAAGTTAAATATAGCTTATATAAAGCATTGAATTTTTATTGAAAAAGCTCCACAGAAATTTTATTAGTTGCAACCTTGTTAAACACTCAATACAAAAAAATAAAAAAACTTTTAGAGTGAGAACAAAAAAATACTATTTTAACTCTTCAAGATATGTTAAATAGCTTATCTAATTATAAATGTTCTAGTAATAATATAGATAGCTAAAAGAATATTGAAGGCTATGAATTTTTAGAATTTATGTTTGGCAAAACTACTAGCTCTCTAATTGAAAATGAAATCGAAAAATATTTAGAGATAAAAGAAGCTAATTGAAAATCTGTTTCTTTTATCTAGTAGGATAAATGAAAAGAAAAATTATCTCAATTATTATTACTAGCAAGAAAATATCCTGGAATTCTAGCCACTTCTATACCCAGTGAAAGGCTTTTTTTAGCCGCAGGCAATATGATATCTGTTAAGCGAACATGACTTGATTTCTTTTTGTTTAAAAAAATAGTATTTCTTAAGCAAAACTTATCCTTATTAGAAGGAATATTTTAAATATCAATGTTAAATACTACAATATTATACTTTAACAAAATTTCTATAAATATAGTTTATATAGTCTAGTTTATTATTCATGATATTGACTTATAAAGTTATTTTATATTAGTATATAAATAAAAATACATTATAGAAAATAAAAAAATAACTTATCTATAGTGCTTATTGTATTGAAATATTTGCAGTATTTTTGCCTTTATTGCTTTTACTAATAATAAATAGAAATAGTAAGATAGAAGGGAGTGACTCTTTGTCCTAAGTAACAATATTTAAAATCTAGTATAATTATTATATAATTAGTTTAATACTGTAATATATATAAATCGATAGGGGTGTGGCGACTTAGTGAAGTGGTGGAGTTGTCGCACCCCCAGATAGCAGGTCTAGAGTTTGAATCCCACGGACGACGTTTTCGAAAAATAGCCCTGTGATATGGTTAACGGCTATTCGACGATCGGTAGGATCTAGAAATCTGTAATCTCGGTTACACCATCTAGAATGGGAGCTTTGGCGTAATAAATTCGAGATACTGGAAGAACCGAAAACCTGTTTGGCAAGTCTCGAGTTGGGAAGTAGTGCAATCTTCAACAGTACTACAGGAAGACCAAATTTGGAACTTGAGACTGAGATCAGAGAACCAAGCAACCAGGTCCTTAAGTGGGGGACATACTAGCCAAACCGCCAGGTCGCCAAACTGGAGGAAAAGGACATATGCTCTGGAAGCATGTACCAAGGGAAAGAAGACCATATAGACACCTAAAGTCTAGATGAACCAACCCTTCCAGGTTGCCGGCTGGAAGTAAGCGAGAGAACGATAAAGAATCTGAGAAAGAAGGAAAGTTCGAATGTGGGTGCTGGGGTTGTGCGAACTCAAAACAAGGGCAGGAGTACGTAACAACTACTAAAATAGGAAGGTTGTAGTTTGAGATATGGATCGGGTTACGGCAGTATTCTAAAAGATAGCTCAAGATACGAACCCGGTGGCGACAACACAACAAGTATTAGATTAGGAAGAAGTTACCAAACATGCAGGTGAATACATGTGTGGGACATGTACCGCTTTGTTAGGTTTACTTCATGGATAGACTAGCTAATACTAGTAAGTCCAAAGGTGGGTGCGAAATCTATAGATGTCGCGAAATCTAGCATATGAATAGTAAGTTACACCTTGGTTAGGTAAGAGATGGTGGGCCGGTTGTGATTAGAGAGTTTAAATAGGTAATCCTCTAGTTGGGTTGCAGGTATGGCAGCTAGTGTGGAACCTCAGGCAGACTACTTAA